TGCGGGGCCGGATCGTGCGCTGACCCCGAGGCTCTCCCGCGGGGCGGCAGGCCCGGGCTGCCGGGACAGGGGCGTCAGGCCTAGGAGCGGGGCATGGGCGGCCGCCCCCCGTTCCCGTGGGTGTCTCGCAAACGCCCCCCGGATTCTGGTAACAGTTGAATTTATGACCCCCCCCCCCACTGGTTTGGCGCTCGGGGCGGCCGGGCCGGGGCGGGGCGGGCGGGAGGCCTGGCGGGCGTGGGGTGGGGTGGAGGGGCGGTGAGGAGTCAGGTGCAGCCGCGGCCCGGAAAGTTTCCTTTTAGGCCTGAATTGGGGGCTGTCCTCTCTTGGAGGAGCCCGGTTCCCAGCGCCCGGGACCCCCCCCCCCGAGGGCACCGGGGGCGAGCACTCGGCTATTTTGAAACTCTTTACCAGTTCCTGCCCGTGGAAGGTACTCCGCCCCTGCGCCCCGCGCCCGCGCCCCACCCCGGCTCCCCGGAGCCCCTTTCGGGGTTGCAAACTCCAGCCCGGTTCCCCCGAAAGCCCCAGGCCCGGGGAGAAGCCTTCTCTTCCGGGTTGGAAAAGTTTTCCGGGGATTTCTTTGCTCTTTCTCTCAGCGGTCTGAGTTAGTGCCTGGGCGTTTGGGGGTGGGGTGGGGGGCGAGGAGGAGGCGGCCCAGGTGCTGCTGCTCCTACCCGCTCTCGGCCCCTCGCTTGTTATGTTTTGCCTTTTCTCTCACAAACCGGGGTGCGGTGTTTTCGGATCCTCGCGTCCCTTTCCCTCCCCCCTTTCCGCCTCCCCCCCAACTCAAACCCCCGGATTCTTTTACCCGCCCCCCCACCCTCTCGGATAGCGCCGACGTGGGGAGCAGCGGGGCCGCCTGGCGAGGGGCCGGCCCGGCCGCTTCGCGGCAGCAGCCCCCCCCCCCACGGAGGAGGGTTCCCCCTCTTGTTGGGTCACTGTCCGGGAAACCCGACCACGGAACTAAATCAACCCCACGGGGACACCTCGGTTGTCAGGATACCAGCAAAGCCTTCGGAGGGAGGGAGGGAGGGGGGACAGGTGGGCAGGGCAGCCCCAGCCTGGCGTGAGGGAGGGTCAGGGGCTTTCTTTTCATTCTCATGCTAGTTATTTAGGTTTGCGTTCTAGTCTCACGTTGCACCCTAGAAATAGAAAGAAAAGGGGGGGATTTAAAGGACACTTAAACTTGGGATTATTACAGCTCAGATGGGTCTGTGTGGGAAAAGCTTTCTGAGAACTGGAACCGAACTATGTTTTGATTGGGGGGTTTGCTTCCCCTGCCCCCCCCCACCCCGTGGATAAGAATGCATTTTGTTGTTGTTCTTTTCTGATGTCATGAGCTCTGAAAAGTTTCTTTTTTCATTTTCTTTTTTTCCCCCCTTTCTTTCTTGTTTCATATGTAGTAAATTTAAAATTTCTTAATCTAGATTACCCACTTCTCCTGGACAGGATATTTCCTGTGGCTACAACTTAACCTCCTCCTGGTGATTCTTTAGGGTTGAAGTTGAAATGTTAATAGACTGCCACCCCCCAGCACCAGGGTGGCCTGTTGAGAGAGGCTATTAATCTTTATCATTTCCTCCCCCCCCCCATTTCTCTTTAGTAAGCTTGAGGTCGTGTATGTTGTGTGTGTGTTTGTGTGTGTGTGCATGTGTATGTATGTTTATATGTGTGTATGTCCGTATGTCCTGCTCCTCTCAGGGTTGGAGATTAAAGGGGAGTTACACACTGACCACTCAGCCTGCAGGGTACTGTGAACTGAAAATCCTGTCACTTGCAGAGCTGTGTGTAACCCAGTAGCTGGTCAATGCTGACTTCTGTCTTGTCTGAGGTCCCTTATGAGATTGCTTACCAAGTGTGTCTGTCTTTTCCTTCTGTCTGTTTAAAATAAAACTGTTTCTCTACTATGATAGATAACAGGACATTTAGTATTTTGTTTCAGAAATATTGGTATTGAAGGTTGTATGGATTTATTTCAAAATGCAAAAGATGTTTAGTGGTTGTCTTAACTTTATTGATGAATTGAAATTGCTTATTGACGTTGCTTTTTAAAAAATATAAACAGGCTTACTTCTGTTATAGTTGGTCCTTATATTTTAAGGGATGCTAAACAGAAATTACATCATTCCGAGTCTCTTTTCCAATAACGTTTTAAGGATGGAAAGAAATCGTATCATTACCTCATAGTTTGGTATTTTAAGGTACTTTGTTAACTTCGTATTCTTAAACTTTCAAAAACTACATATGTACAATGCCTGGGCATTTTAGTTTAGGCCTGTAAGCCTAGCACTTGCTTACCTAGCATTCATGAAGCCCTGGGTTTGATTCCTTAGTACCACATAGACACAGAAAAAGCCAGAAGCGCTAGCCTTGAGCAAAAGAAGCTCAGGGACAGTGTTCAGACCCTGAGTTCAAGCCTCAGGACTGGCAAAAAAAAAAAAAATGTGAAGTAAATTTCTGAGGGTATATACTTTTTTAGTACCAAATTTTAAAATAGGTGTTGATGAATCTGAAATAATCAAGTTTCTTTTCCTATGAAAGAAGTTTGTAAGTTACAGTGTGACCTTTTGTGTGTGTGTATATGTGTGTATGTATGTGCATGCCTGTACTAGGGCTTGAACTCAGTACTTGGGTGTTGTCCCTTATTTTTTCTGCTCAAGGCTTGTTACTCTACCAATGTCCATCATCAGATCTTAGCCTCCCGAGTAGCTAGGATCACAGGCATGAGCCACTGCTACCTGGTCATATTGCTACCATTTTTAGAGGAATAAAACTTTATATAGAAAAAAATTTTGAACTGTGAACACTCAAAGTTGAAAATGCCATTTAAAAATAAATGCTTTTCCATTCATTCTTAGACCTGAAATGCGCCTCAGAATTCTAGCTCTCACTACCCTGGTTTGGAATAGTGGTACCAAGGTTAATGAAAGGCTGTTGGCTATTTCTGTCTGTGTACAGTTGGCCTTTAAACTGGTAAGGCAGTGAGTGAACAGATGATCTTTGGAAGCCACAAAGCAGACACTCCACTGCAGATATTGTAGCCATGTCCATTTATGCTAATAGAATTGTGTCCTCACACTGTAATAGAGCTACTTCCCCACTTCCCACTGTATACAGACAGTGTGAGTGTGTCCCTGACTGCACAGTCTCTTTTAGACAATTACCCTAACTAACCATTTTGAGATATTTGAGGATAAACCCAATTTAAATATTTAGGCCTTTTTCTTTTCCCTCTTTCACTTAGAGTTAGAGACTACTTGGTTCTTTCCTTCTTCTGTTTTTGTTTTTTGTTTTTAATAATGTTGAAGCTTTAACCCAGGGCCTTGGGCATGTGTAGCAAGTGTTTTGCCATTGAGCTACATTTCCAGCCTAGAACTGATTTTTTTTTTTTTTTTTTGATAGGTAGAGGTGCTTGAACTCAGGGTTTGAGCCCTGTCCCTGAGCTCTTTTGCTCAATGCTAGCACTGTATCACTTTGAACCACAGTGCCACTTCTAGATTTCTGGTAGTTATTTGGAGATAAGAGTCTCACAGACTTTTCTGCCTGGACTGGCTTTGAACCATGATCCTCAGATCTCAGCCTCTGAGTAGCTAGGATTACAGATGTGAGCCATCAGCTCCTGGCTAGAACTGAGTTTTGATGAAATATCTGTCATCACATTCCCATCAGGCCTTGGGGTCCGATTCCAGATCTCCATGGGGCCTTTTGCTTAATTTTTACTTTCTTTATGTGGAAATGGAGATAGAAGTCTTTGATGTAAACCCTAAGTGGGTAGAAAATGTTAATTCCCCTAGCACATTTCTCCATTTATAGTAACACCATGAAAATACAATTTGTCTTAATGATTTGTTTGCTTTTTTTAAACTAAAAATAATATAGGCTCATACTATCTTTTGAGACTAGACCTGTTTATCTCACTCAGGATACTGTTAATTTTTCAGTTTGGTTTGTGTTTGTGTGAATATATGTATACAGCACAAACAAGCTAACACTTCCCTCTGTAACTATAGTTTTATAGGTTTTAACTGGTTAAGAGCAGGGGCTCTGGATTCATACTGGTCTTGGATCCTAGTTACATGACATTGGACAATTAAAATTAATCTAAGCATCTGTTTATTCATCTGTGAAAGAGATTGATATTAATGTCTACTTCGTGGAGTTGCTGGGAACTTAAATGAGGATTGCATATCAAGCTTTAGAATGTTTCCAGGTATATAACTGTCTTCTCTGCTTTCCTTTGGCTTAGCTCCCTCCTCTACTCTCGCTGGTGCTCTGCAACTTGAGCCACACCTGTATTTCTGACATTTTGCTGGAATCTCTAAGATTTGTCTGGCAAGGATGGCTTTGAACAGAACTGATCCTCTTCTAGGATCTCAGCATTCTGAACAGCTAGGATTACAGACCTGAGCCACCAGTGATAGCTAAACTTTTATTTATGTATGTATGTATTTATTTATTAAGGTACTCATCCTGGGGCTTGAACTCAGGGCCTATGCACTGTTCCTGAGCTTTTTGCTCAAGGCTAGAGCGCTGCCATTTGAGCCACAGTGCCACTCCATCTTTTTGGGCAATTTAGTGGAGATAGTGCCTCACAGACTTTTCCTGCCTAAGCTGGCTTCAAACCTCAATCCTCATATCTCAGTCTCCTGAGTAGCTAGGATTACAGGTATGAGCCTCTGGCGCCCAGCTTATTTTGTTGCTAGTACTGGTACAAGAACTCAGAGCCACACTCAATTTGCTTTCTGCCATTT